AACACAGCATACCTAAAAATACATTTTATAACATGTTTCTTATCTTTTAGATATCTCTGTGGACCAGGCCTTTGCACAAACTGCAAGCTCCGCTGTACAATTTATTTTCAATAATCTTTATTTAGTTTTTTTTAAACAATTTATAAAACAACATACATATACCAGAAACATAACTTCCTACGCCCATGGGAGCATTACTTAAAAAAACAATAAACATAAATCTTATAAAGTGATAAACCATCCATTTCAATATTATAAATATTATATAAACTTCCCTCTATTCGCCACCATCCATTCATGTTTCTCCCTACATCCTCACCCTACACCCCCCTCCAAAAAAAAAAAGAATTACCCCCTCCTCCTATCCTCCTCCTCCAAAGCCATAACATTAAATCGAGAAATGAGCAGTGGTACACCATACCTGAACCCATTCTCTCGTATCCAGATGTTTTTCCAAATCACATTACCACTGAGACGCATACTTCGGCAAAGTCCAATTTTTACTCTCCATCAATACATTATAAATAATGGACAGAATACCCCCACACAAGGGGTCCTGTAGGCATTTCTGTTCAAATAAAGTTAATCCAGAGGGCACATCTGATTTAGCTAACCCTAATTGTATAAAGCTTTTGATTTGTAGGTACCTTAAATCTACAGTGTAAACAACATATTTGATAAATGGAGCAGAAAATCATTTATCCTACATGGCCCAACTTCCACACACTTTCGAAAGCCAGATTCCTTGAATATATAACTCCTTCCCATATCCAAAAAGAGAATGCCTGATTAATGGATTGTTAACATGTTTCTGATGTGAAGACAAACTCCAAAGCAAATTGTCTATGGCTATAGGCAGGGCTGGATTAATATAGGGGCGGGTGGAACTCCCGCTACAGTCCCACCCCTGCAAATAGGCCCAACTGACCCAAATCCGCCAGGTTGACATGGTTCAAATTGCGGCCGAGCTGGCCTGACTCGAAACATGCCCCGCTGGCCCGACTCGAATTGTGGCCGGGCTGGCCCAACCCAAAACACAGTCCGCCCAATGACAATCCAGGCTGGCCGCGACCCTCTATTCAGGGATATCATAGGGCCCTCTGATATGCCTGAGCAAAGAGCCGCGGCCGCCAGCACTCACTGACCACCTAGATCCCGCATTGACCACCTGGAGCCCACAGTGACAACCTGGAGCCCATACTGACCACCTGGGGCAATCACTGACCACCTGGAACCCGCACTAGCTACCTGCTGACCTCACTGACCACCTGGAGCCCTCGCTGACCACCTGGAGCCCGCACTGACCACCTTAGAGCCAATATTGACCAGCTGGAGCCCTGCAATGACCACCTGAGGCCCTCACTGACCACCTGAGGCCCATACCGACCACCTGGAGCCCTCACTGACCAGCTGGAGCCCGCACTGACCACCTGGAGCCCTCACTGACCACCTGGAGCCCTCACTGACCAGCTGGAGCCTGCACTGACCACCTGGAGCCCGCACTGACCACCTGGAGCCTGCACTGACCACCTGGTGCCTTCACTGACCGCATGGGTCCCGCACTGACCGACCTGAGAGCCCGCACTGACAGCCTGAGAGCCCACACTGCCACCTAAGAGCCCGAATAGCCTCCTGAGAGCCTGCACAGCCGCCCCTTAAACCTCACACAGCTTTCCTGAGACCCTGGAGACATCAGGCCACGAACCCAGGGCAACACAGTATTTAGCTTCATATTATTCTGCATTGCTGTATAAAGTATTCCTGGGATGTGTAGCCCTCCATAGCTGATGGTATTCTGCATTTCTGTGTAATGTATTACTGGGATTTGTAGTCCCTCTACAGCTTGGAGTCAGTGGCAGATCTACCAGAGTCACAGCTGTAACTGGGCCCTGGTGCTCCACCACTGACTCCGAGCTGTAGAGAGACTACAAATCACAACCCGGGCAGGAAGAAGAGGCCTGGGTGACCGTCGCCATTTCCATAAAAAGCCCCCCCAAAATCCTCAGCACCAGGCCCGTGATGCTCTTAATCCGGCCCTGGCTTTAGGATTGACCTCTTCTGAATCAATAGTTACCCACAGAGGGGCAGTCAGCCCCATGTAATAAGATATCATAGGTGCACTTTGCCCAGTTTGATTAAAAAAAAACAAATGTGGCACTGCAAGATGTCCTTTACCCCGAGGTTGGACAAGGACATTTTTAGTTACTCACGTTTTTTTTTCTCCTGATAAGCCGAATCAATTGCTGCTGAGGGGTTTCATGGTAGATATTGGGACGGCAATTGATGATACTCAAAAAAAATCTAACAATTTGTAGCGCTCATCCCCGAAGGAGCCGCTGGATGATCGGGTCTTCTGTTTCACCTCTGTGACACACCACAAGCAATGAACCCACAATTTCCACCTGCAGCTGCAATATCTTTCCTCTTAAAGGACCTGACACCACAATACGGCTACAAATTTAGGTAGCAAAGTCATTTTTATTGCTGCTATTCTTCCCAGCCATGATAGTTAGTATCTCTTCCAAGATTCCAACATCTGCTTGACCTGGCATATAACCAAAGGATAATTGGCTTGGTAAAATGAGTCATAATCAGCTGTTGAATGTACTGTATGCCTAAATAATTAATGATCCAGGGTTCCCAAGAGAAAGGGTACAAACTCTGTAGTCTTTGCATCAAGTTCTGTGATAATAGGAATTATATTGCCATCGGGAGGCCTTTATACAGCACACAGGGTATCGCTCGGGGAAGTTTCCGCTACATCGTGGGACTCGCCAGGGTTGTCCTCTGTCGCCTTTACTATTCTCTGTAGCGATTGGACCACTTGCCATTGCAGTACGGAACAACCCTAATATCAAGGGTCTGAAAGTAGGAGGTTATGAACATAAGGTAGCCCTGTTCGCAGATGATACGTTTTTGTTTGTGACCAAACCCATAATATCTCTCCCGATTCTGCTTGATCTTGAATCCAAAGCATTAAGGCATGGATGTTGTAACGTTTTAGCTTCCTGCAGAATCAGCTGGTCCCCTGAGCACTGGCCCTGATATTCAGTTTTAGGGTGACTTCTCTCACTTGTAGGGTCCTATGGAGCCACTGTTGTGTGTGCAGTGAGCTGTATGAGACACTCCTTGCTCCTCTCTTCTTAAAGCTAGCTGAAGCATGGCTGTTGCAGACTTTTCTGTCCATTGTGATCTTGTACTGTACAGGAAGTTATGGGGCTCTATCTAATAGAGTAAACCTTTTCGCGCTCCCATGCTATCTGCAGTTACCTGCTGTTTTTTTTTTTTTTGTATTCTGGCGTCGGTCGCTGGCCACCGTCAGAATAAAATAAAAAAAAACAGATAGCAGGGGAATGCATAGCTAGGCTGCTATTGGCCATTTCAAATTGCAATACCCAATAGCAGGATGGCTATTGTTGTTTTTTATTCTGATGGTGGCCCACGGCAGCTGTTAGAATACTACAAAAACATAACAGCAGATAGCAGGGGAAGTATTAGCTCCTCTGCTATCTGCTGATTCCCCTGCTATCTGTTCCCCCCTATCCAAGGGGGAGGGGGGCTGGGGGACCTCCCGGAAATTAGTTATTGCAGATTGGGATACTCCCGTACTATGGGACTGGGAGCGATGGAGTTTACATCACTTCCGGTCCCATAGCTGTCAGTGCTGGGCTCCTGAAGCCCAGCAATAAGCTATTGAAGTGCGATCTTTTGGACCCCCAGTATCACCTTAAAGAGTACCTGTCACCACTAATCTGCTAACACATGGGGGGGCTTGTAAGCCCCCCTATGTGATAGCAATTAAAGTAAAGTAAAAATAAATTAACAGTTTTTAAAATTAATATAAAATAAATGTAGAAATAATTTTTTAAATGTTAAAGTCCCTCCACGATTCTTCACGTAAACACACGTCGGGTGCGCCTATGTATGAAATCGACGATGGCGCTATACATGTTGGGTATCGCCACGCATGCCGGAGTGAGAGCATAAATTCTAGGGCCAGTATTTATGCGTATCTCTAAACTGATGACTTGTAGGGGCTTTTAAAGCGTCGTCTATGGACTTTTTGGGGTATTGAATTTTGTCGCAGTTTCACGGACGCACACAATTTTTAACCTGGGCATGTTGGCTATCTATTTACTCGTTGTAACCTCATCTTTTATTTTAAAAATTAGTATTTTATTGTGTTTTCTGCATTTAAGTGCATTTTTCACTAAATTTGGTGGTTTGATAAGAAGATGCGCTAATATCGTGCAACATAAAAATTTGCAATTGCCACCATTTTATTCTATAGTGTCTTAGCTTTCAGAAAATATATAATGTTTGGGGGTTTTAAGTAATTTTCAGGCCCTACAGTGCGGATTATAACATGGAAACAAAAGATTAAAAAAAAGGCCTCTGTCATGAAGGGGTTAAGCAAAGCAAAGCAAAGCAAGTGCACATGTTTGATCTGGATTCATTATTGAGTTTCATACTACTTTGAGCGTGCCCCTTTAAGCCAAGCCCAAAATTCAGCATAGCACAACCTCTCCCATTTTTCTCTGCAGTATATGCCTCGTGTTTTCCCTTATCAGCATGCCCCATGTTCTCCTGTTCTGACATTGGGAGGTATGGGTTTACATCAGGGGTGGGCAAACTCCGGCCCTCCAGCTGTTTTGAAACTGCAAATCCCATAAGGCATTGCAAGATTCTCACAGCCACAGGTATGACTCCCAGAACCAGATGCATGATGTGATTTGTAGTTTCACCACAGCTGGAGGGCAGCGTTTGCCCACCTTTGGTTTACATTAGAATGGGTTCACGTTAAAAGTAAATGCTCTAAGTTGAATAAAGTTCTTCACAAACTCTGGAAAAAAACTTCCTGCAATGAGATTAAAACTGCAAGCTGTACAGACACTTGGTGCGCTTCCTCTTCACGCCTAATGATACATTATGATCCGCCTTCAGCGCTATCTTTGTAACATGACGCTCACCCCCATGACAGTACAGAACTTCAACCTCAACCTCCCTCACAACCAATCACAAGCTGCCGCTCTGACATCCGCCCAACCAATCAGCTCGCACTTCTCAGTTTGACTCGTCCGCTTAGCCAGATAAACTTTATGCTGGGATCGGCCCCGGGGGTCCCCGGAGATGGGCGGGTCTCGAGTGACGCCAGCGAGACAGTAGCCAGTCGTCTTGTTTGTCTTGCTTGATTGATAGGTTCGTCAGCCAATAGGATTCAGGCGCTGGTATTTCCTGTATAGTAGTTTTTAATATGGCGAAGACTTACGACTATTTGTTTAAACTGCTTCTGATCGGTGACTCGGGGGTCGGAAAGACTTGCGTGTTATTCAGGTTCTCAGAGGATGCCTTCAACTCTACCTTCATATCTACTATAGGTGAGAGGCGGTGGAGGTGTGGGGAGCAACTGGTGGGACTGGAAATGGGGAATGACAGGGGAGCAGTGCTGGGGCCAGCGGCGTACTAGGGGTGTATTCTGACCACCATGGGGCAGTACACTCAAGCCTGGCGGCTATGTGGTCATGGTAATGGTAGCTTAGTATAGCACATTCATTAAAACATGGGTACATCATGTATGGAATTAGCCTTCAATTGCTGTAAAAGTCACCCTGTTGTTAGAAAAAAAATCATTTCTGCCAAACCCCCTCAAAACTTCTAAAACCTCCCTTTTACAGTTGGTGGGTTGGGTGGCAGCTCTGCATTTTTCAAGAGAACACCCTTCTGCAGAATATTCTCCTTCTGGGGATGTCTGGTCCCCTTCAGGCCTCATCAGATCCTCCCAAAAGCATGGGTGTCACCACTGAGTCCCATAGGGGCTGGTGGCGGATGGACTTTTTTTTTTTTTTACAGGGAGCATCTTTCTCAGTGACAGAGTTGCTCTAATGCCATAACTTTATTCAGAACTTTATAGAGAAAATCGTTTAAACCCACGTTAGGTTTTTATTTTGTCATTTGTGTCTGATTCGGGACAGTACCCTTTACTTCATGCCCTGTAGACACAACAAGAAGTGAGGGAAGATCTCTTTAAGGGATAATTGACCTCATATGCATTGGGGCTGCGCTGGCTGTTGTTTATAGCGCAACGGCCAGCACAGCCCCAGTGCAAGACAAGGCAATCTGCCTTGTCCCAGATGGGCTTGGTTCACACCACTACATTGTGATGGAAACGCGGTGGTGTGCATTGAAAAAAAAAAGTACAGCTTGCTGTACCTTTTTTAGCGCAGCGGGATGCGATGCGGAAGAACCGCCTTGCACCCCACTGTGCCTGTAGAACTTAATGAAAAAAATTTAACTTGTGACATTTCAATAAAGTTCTACCAAAAAACAAACAAAACACAGAATCAGTGCATTGACACTTTGTTGGGCAACGCACACCAGCTGCTGTTTGTTTAGCGCAACGCCAACCTTTAAGGGTTCCACAGATAGCAGTAAAACCGGGCTTTTGTCCCAGTAGTGTTACTCTCCCCAATGAGGACACAGACAGCAATGAAACTCCAACATTGATTCTAATTCCTTATTATTTTGTCCAAAACTATTGAAAAAAATATAAATTTGGGTACACTGTAACAACACATCTAAGCGGCACTGAATTGTCTTATGACTGCTGAGCTTTGCTGAAAAGTTCTCATTAGGATGCCGGTGACTCTGCTGTCTAGCATCCTTAGTTGCTAGGCTGCAGGCGCCTATTTGTTGTCTAGCGTTCTTTGTTGCTAGAATGCAGGTGACTTTTTGCTGTCTAGCATCCTTGGTGGCTAGGCTGCAGGCGGCTCTTTGTTGTCTAGGGTCCTTGGTTGCTAGGCTGCAGGCGACTCTATGTTGTCTAGGGTCCTTGGTTGCTAGGATGTAGGCGACTCTTTGCTGTTGTGCTTCTTTCATTGCTAGGATGCAGGCACCTCCCTGCTGTCTAGTGTCCTCAGTTGCTAGGGCACAGGTGGCTCCAATAAATTGCATATGCGCTGTACACTCTATGCATGTAAGTGTTATCACAATTGTCCATATGATCCATACACAGAACCTCAGACACAGGTTTTTGTATTTTGATATACTGCTAAAGGCAGTGCAAGTTTGCTAATCTTTAAGCACTGCGTTCATTGGCTCATATAAAAAAATTGAAAAAACACTGTACTGATAAAAACACAAAGGGGGGAATTTATCAAAACTGGAGCAGACAAAATCTGGAGCAGTTACCCAGGGCAACCAATCAGCTCTCTTCAGTTTGTTCAGTTAAGATTTGAAAATGAAAGAGAGAAGCTGATTGGTTGCCATGCACAGCTGCTGCAGACAGAATCTGGAGCGGTTGCCCATAGTAACCAGTAGCGATGCACCGATATATCGAAACATATCGGCCGAAAGTGCAATTTTCTTGCCGATACAGAGGTGCATCTATTCTTTCTCTCCTCCCTGCTGGCCGCTGCTCCTGTGTCCGAGCAGGGAGGAGATAATCTGTCACAGGTGGCCGAGCTCTGCGGGAGGAGAGTGCTGTGAGCGGCCGGCATCTCTCCTGTCACAGATCTGAGGAGAGCAGTGTGGGCGCAGACAGCCAGTGCTGTCACAGGAGTCGGCTCCGCTCGCTCAGCCTTCTGTGACAGCTGTCAGGAGCGAGGTACAAGCAGTCAGTGATAGCTGAGTGTTTGTAAATAATTGAGGACATGGTATGGTTACTATATCCTCAATTATGAATGAATGGAAAGTGATCTACATCACTTCCTGTTCATTCATGATTGTGGATATAGTAAACCTACTATGTCCTGAAGTTTATGAATGAACAGGAACACTCAGTATAGAGGATTCCTGTGCATTGATAACAGGGGATACAGAAAAGAGGTTGAGGACTTTGTGTTAGGGCTGCAACAACTAATCGACATAATCGATTTATAATCGATTAACGTGACCGCGTGGCAATCGTGTGCGGATTGCCGTGCGGTCACAGAGTCCCACACCACTGCTGATCGCGCTGGCGACACCATTCTTTTCTAATGGCACCCTAGTTGCGATGGGTGGATCGTGCGGTTTCCCGCCGTGATTCCACCCGTGCAATCGAATATGATCGTGGCTAAAAATTATGAAGAGGGTTGTTCACTAAAGAGCAGAAGGATTAAGCTGAAGCTTCAGCTAATCCTTCAGCTCACTTCGGCCGCCGGAGCACTTCAGTTCAACTCGGATTAAGCGTCTGGGTGGGAATTTTAGAAGGACCCCACGTTATTTTTTTCCCCCATTCTAAAATTCCTACCAGACCTAAAGGGCCTGGTATGACTTTTGGGGGGATTGCCAAACACTTTTTTTTACTTTTTAACTTGGGGTCCCTTCTAACTTTCCTACCAGACCTAAAGGGTCTGGTATAGATCGGGAGGGGGACCTCGCACTGTTTTGTTTTGTTTCTGTTTACTTTTTTTTTTTATTCTGGTCGCTACCTCCGATGTAGTGAGCAGAATAACAGAGCCACTGAGTGGCATTCGGCTATTCGCTCACTGCAGCGAGGTACGGTTCAGCCGATCCAGATGTTGGATCGGCTGAGGCGAACGGGTTCTGCGCTTCGGTTCAGCCGAACATGCTGAGCACTCCTAAGTGTTGTCACCCTGGGACACGAAGTGTACTACTGGCAAAATCGCTAGCTGTAAATAAAGGAAAAAGCCTGAAAAAAAGAGAAATAATGCAGCCAGCACATCCTGGGACCATTGGCTGCAATAGATTAGAGTTTTTCTTGGCTTTAGAGACACTATAAATAAACATTTCAAGTTCTTCATGGTGAATAGTAAAGCTTCCAGTGAGGCCAAAACTTTTGTTTCGTAATCATTATTTGGAAGATAAAATGTTGCCATCTGATTTTAACAGCACCTCTGCCAATATATGTACACATACATTTTTTTATGTAAATTAGGTATGTTATGTTTATGATGGCTCTTCTGAAACCAGTATGAGTATTAATAATTTTTCAACATTTTTGATTGCCTACCACCCAGCAGGCATCTGCTTGCAAGTCTGGACATCCAGTGTCATCTCACGCCTATGAGCACTCTTAAGGTGCCCATACACCTTACGATTATCGTACGATAATCGTATGCGATCGACTTTTCGTACGACAATCGTAACGTGTGAATAGAGTGCCCGACCGATAGTACTGTACAATCGTACGACTTTTGACGGTCAAAGCTGAGCTGTGTTGTCACCCTGGGACACGAAGTGTACTACTGGCAAAATCGCTAGCTGTAAATAAAGGAAAAAGCCTGAAAAAAAGAGAAATAATGCAGCCAGCACATCCTGGGACCATTGGCTGCAATAGATTAGAGTTTTTCTTGGCTTTAGATACACTATAAATAAACATTTCAAGTTCTTCATGGTGAATAGTAAAGCTTCCAGTGAGGCCAAAACTTTTGTTTCGTAATCATTATTTGGAAGATAAAATGTTGCCATCTGATTTTAACAGCACCTCTGCCAATATATGTACACATACATTTTTTTATGTAAATTAGGTATGTTATGTTTATGATGGCTCTTCTGAAACCAGTATGAGTATTAATAATCCTGATGAATGAGGAATTTTTCAAAATTTTTGATTGCCTACCACCCAGCAGGCATCTGCTTGCAAGTCTGGACATCCAGTGTCATCTCATGCCTATGAGCACTCTTACACATGTCTCTTTACATTCTTGAAAAAATGTTTATGTATATAGAGTCCATTGTTTTCCTATTATTGCTAAAAACAGACCCCTTGTTCTCATTCCAAAAATATTTGGCAGACTTTATGTATAAAAAAGGATTGAAAAGGAACTTCAACGTGTACGTTACGTTTCACTCCATAAATGTATTTCTTAAACAGTATGTTCAGATATATACGTTTATAAAAGTAACAAAAACACAGCGGACTGACTTTTTACAGTATCACAGTGCTGCTGTTTTCCTTCCGGATTTAAAGGCGGACTCCATCCAAATATGTTTTTGGATGTTTTGAGAAAGGGTTAGAACCTCTGTGACGTGAGGTTAAATCTCCATAGTGCAGCTGTTCTCAATCTCAACCTTTTTCTGTTACAAAAGTTTTATTGAAGCAACAAAAAAACATAGCAAAATGTAAAGTCTATATATTTTTATACAGCAACGTGGGTATAGTCAATTTAAAAACCAGCAAGAGACCAATGGAAAATACCACTAAGGACAAATGGAGAAAAAAAAGGGGGGGGGGGCGTGGGGGCACATATAGGTTCATCCACTTGATATGAATCCAAAAGCCATGAAGTTTAAATAAAAAAGCAAGAAGAAAAAATAGCAGAAGAGTAGTGAGGAAAGAAGGGAAAATGGGGAAGTAAAGAAAAGAAAAGAAAAGAGGAAAGGCAAACAATAGTAGTTAGAGGTACAATAATGAGGCATCAAAGTCAGGAGGCGG